GACGAGTCGCCAAAGCAGCATGTGGTCTGGCATTATCATCGGTAGCCATGTTTTCACGATCGCGTCTCGCTTAATAATGACACGAGACATCTTTGTTTCAGTTTATTTAGGAGAGTACATGCGTGTAAATGCAATGATAAAGAGAGATAGTCATATATTTTTTGTCCGTACGTTCGGTTAGTCGCCTAACGTACATGCGCGACCGAACTATTGTACGCTCGATTCGCGCTTCCTACGGCAAATTAATGACGTGGAAGGGTCTCTAGTAGTCTTAGAGAACTTTATTTTTTGTGTTGTACTCTCTGCGAGCGCTGGTGGAAGAATGCTCTTCCAACGCTGGAAAGTCGTGGAAGAGCACCCGTGGATGGAGGTAGATCGTTTATTATTGGTCAAGGCACGAATCACCCCTTGGAGAGGGGTGTCTGCCTTGACCCTTGTTGGGGCCTGAGAGGGTTTCCCCAATGGTGGGACCTTTTTATGGCCCTTGTCTCTGGACGCAACAATATATGTCTCAAATCAACATGTGCATATGGATTGAAACTTGAAGTGACACTATCGGACAGAACTTTCCGGTAGACCTAATATTTAGAAAGGTATATTATATCAAAGTGGGATAGAAATGTGTAAAAGTGCATTTACATTACTTTCGAGTACATTGGCTGCTATGGTCGGAACTATTGATAGTAAAACAAAAGAAAAATCGATTCTCATCGAAAGCGAAAGATTTCGATAGTTCTTCACCTCTACAACACACCAATTAGATAGTTAACATTCGTCTGTTCTCTTCATCCATGCCACGTCCGCAAGAGTTTCTAACAACTCATGCAACATTTTTTCTCATTCACTGATTTGAATTCACGCTGCGTTTCCACAATAAAACGATCTCACGCGTTGGATTTATGATAGAGGAAGCTGAAAAGACCACATTGTACAACTGTATACATTTGACACTAAACTTGCCGTGCGGATAAAATAACCGGTTTTTAATATTTTGTTTTGGATGTAAAAGGTGTTGTTGAAATTATAAAGACTGTTTCATTGAAAATGATTGAATAGATTCTTTGAATTTAAGCATATATCGTAATAAAAGTAACGAAAGGTCCAAGTGAATACAGTCCTTTCGTCGTTATAAAGCAACACACGTTAGTTTATAGTTATTTTATAGTTTTTGGTCTCGATAGGTTCAGTGTTAATAAACTCTACCAATAAACTATACTAATGCTAATAAACTAGAAGTGACCGACGTGTGTTGCGTTATAAGGATAAAACCGAATTTATATTGACTTTTCGCCACTTTTATTGTTAGAGTTACGAGTCTTAATAGCATATTAATTAGAAATACATATATTTTTTAGCTGCGGCACATTGAACAGCACCGTTTACACGTATACATATATCTTTTAAGAGAGCCGGAAGACGACGACAGGCGCCACCTACGATCAGAGACACTCGCCGATGGCTTTCTCTCCCGCATACGCGAATTACAAATCAACATTTATTATAGTACATATATGTATTTATTTACTACAATATACCAAAAGATGGATTGAAATAAAAGTCATTATACTCTCGTGAAATTGAATAGGAATTAATAAATAAAACGTTTTGTGTTTTTATTTACGTATTTCACATGATCACCTTACAGAATTAATAATTTAGTGTCGCCGTATCAACGAGATACAGTTAATTTAAATCCGCAACAACTAATGCTTAGACTGCGAATTTTATACATTTATGTCAAAAATGGATAGCTGAAATATAAAATTGCGAAGACACAAAAAACGATTTGATAATACCATTACCTTATCTGCGACTTATCCAAATTATTAGAAAAAAACAATTTATTTTTGTTTCGTTCCCGTTTCGTACAATCGTCTCGGAAAATGTTAATGAATAATGTTAAACTTCTTGTTTTAACCCTTTGCACTCGAAGCTATTTTAACTGTAAATATAAAATCATTTTTCTAACTTATAGTATTTATATTTTATATGACCAAATGCATTTTATGCATATGAAATTGACTCTTGGGACTCGCACAACAGTTACGCTCTTAATTTTTTAAATCTAAATTTTGTTAATATCAGAATTATCTTGAAAGGTGATTTAACAAATTTTAGTGGTGCCTCAGAGTCACCACTCGAGTGCAAAGGGAAAATGTTAATGAATAATGTTAAACTTCTTGTTTTAACCCTTTGCACTCGAAGCTATTTTAACTGTAAATATAAAATCATTTTTCTAACTTATAGTATTTATATTTTATATGACCAAATGCATTTTATGCATATGAAATTGACTCTTGGGACTCGCACAACAGTTACGCTCTTAATTTTTTAAATCTAAATTTTGTTAATATCAGAATTATCTTGAAAGGTGATTTAACAAATTTTAGTGGTGCCTCAGAGTCACCACTCGAGTGCAAAGGGTTAATATAACCGATTGTAGCACAGCTTGCAACGCGTTTATACCGATGAGAATCTCGACCCCGTTTACAACAAATAAATTAAAATGAAATGAAATTAATAACTATACCCTACACGTCTAGACATTTCTCGCATCTATTTATAAACATCGTGAATTGTTACGCGAGTCACCATTCGAGTGCAAAGGGTTAACATCGAAGCGTCCAGCGATGGTTTCGCTTCTCTTCTCACCCCTGCTAGCTGTTCCGCTCGCGGCGGGCGTCCCGATACACTTCCGAGGGAAAGGCGTACGCGGGCATTTCGAACAATTGGCCCGATTTCGCGATTGACGGATCGCTGAAAAATTAAGGCGTAGCTCAGTCAAGCGTAGTTATCAGTGCCGCGGGTGAACTGTGCGCGCGGTGTCTGCCTCGTGTCATGGAATCGCGATTGTCTTCGCGATTGCGCCACAGAAAAACACTCCGACAGACTTTCCGTACACCCACGGAACGGCCGTGGACTTTATTGTCCCGGATCGAGAGCTGGCACAGCGGCTTGCGGTTCGTCTGAACGCAAATTACTTACGCCTCGGCTCGGCGACGTGCTGCGGGAGACGGGATCGAGGCACGTCGAGAATCCCGGATCAATAGCGTAACCCGGCGAGCACGGTCTCCGCGGAAACCCGAAAGCAGCGACTGCCGTTCTGAACAGCCAGGCGTTCAACTCACCGAACGCGCGGTGTGGCATCCTTTCTCAAAAACTTGGCCGGAATCGAATTTTCCAACTGTGCTAGCTCGTTCAAAAAGTTCCAGGACAATCCAGAGTAACAAGAAACAATGAGACGCTTTGACAATTGTTTTGGCTTTATTCGGTCCGGTACAATGATACTTGCAATGATTTATTTGCGTTGCCAGCTTCGGATCTGTCGAACGAGATTTTGATCATGTCGCCAATATTTTTCTTGAACAAAAACGTTAATTTTGTTCTTGATTTATATTACGATAGTTGGAGGAGATATATATAAGGAGATATGGATAAATAAGGTTTAATTTATGTTGAATACTTGTAGATTGCTTTAAAAATTGTTCTACATTTCTAGTGCTGTTTTCGGATACATGGTGTCTGTTTCGTAACTACTCTCGGTTATTGCACTATTTTTCATCAAATTATACAAAACTGTTATAATATAGTTTATCGTATACTATTTGTACTATAGTATATAGTACATATGTATGTACTATATATTTATATATACGTACTTACGTATATTATATATATGTATATTAATGTATATTGTATATTATATATATATATATATATATATATATATATATATATATATATAATATACAATATTATAAAAAAATATATATATAGTATATATATACATAGTATACACATATTTTGTATATTTTGTGATGTGTGTGTGTGTGTGTGTGTGTGTGTGTGCGCGCGTGCGTGCGTGCGTGCGTGCGTGCGTGTGTGTGTGTGTGTGCTTGATGCATGAAGTGACCGAGAAAAAAAAGAGAGAGAGAGAGAGAGATTTCAAGATTATCGATCTATTAGATTCTATTAAAACGTTAATTGTAAAAATAATAATTCTTACACTATTGAAATACTAAATTCCTAAAATTAGTATCTACAACGTTTACAACGTGTCTAAATATTCAAATCGCACCGTTCGAAAGAAACGTTGCACACTTTTATTGAACATTACATCTAGCTTCAAACTAATTTTCACAACAACACAGATGCTAATTACACGTTCTCTTGTTCCAGGAAAATATCTCGACTCCCGAACCCGCCGACATATCGGAGGATGATCATTATCCGAGTAAGCAAAACGATTTATTATCCATTTCCGTAGACCTTCTCGTATCATATTTTTGGTCAGGGAAGATCGAACCTCACTTCCACGAGCATTGCCAAGAAAAAAAGAAAAAGATAATTAATCCGTAGTCGTTGCGCCACTATCGCGCAACGCGGTACAAAACTCACAACTCTTCGTAGCGTCCAACATTTCTTTCGTTTTCATTTCCGCTGATACCGTTTCCATTGTCTTTTGCATTAACATTTTCGTACATCAATATAACATAAACTTTCGCGAGCTGACAAAATATGGTGGGAACAAACAGTGCTGTAATACGAATAGAGCTTCTTTTTTAAATTCAACTTACTATATAAAGAGAGAATGTTTGTTCATAAATTATCTGAATCGAATGAACTGTCGCTGAAGAATTTGCAACGCGTTATTGTTGTTGCTGCGAACGAATTATAATTTCAATCTAATATACGTTATAACTGCATCGTATTCGTTTTCTGAAGGAATAGTGTAATAATAAAAATCCTGTTCGCCGAGAGCGATTCAAATTTTTTAGCGTCAATGCGCATCATCGTTTTTTTAAATTCCATCGCATTTACCGCTTGCTTCGACTTCTAAACTCCATGCATATTTCGCCTTTCGCATTGTAAGATCTTCTTGTACTTATCATAAAAGCAATATCTATCGTTTTAAATAACGCGTGATTCAACTTCGGGATTCTTGGATCAAAACTTTTCTCACACACGTGATTCATTGAATACGTGATAAGCAGGATTTTATGCATTTACAGCGTTCGCGAGTGTGTTAAGCAAGATAAAACTCGAATACTAAAGGTACATCGGAAGCTTTTTATTCGATTTGAGCTGACATAAATGTTTCGATGAGCAATATAACGAGAATGTCAACGTCTGCAATTTATCCGCGAGTTTCACTCTGTACGAATATAAAATCTAGTCAAACAAAAGATGGACAAATTTATCTGTAAATCAGTTACAACGTTTTCGTCGTGCATAATAACTATAGGAACGAATTATGACTTTCAATGATGACTGATTAATGCGACATTGTCTTTCCTAGACGTTTTCATTCCACTCGTTCATTTACATCCGATTAGTATGACAAAAATAGATAACGTCGTGTCACTGTGATTGTTGATAAATATTAATACCGATGGAAATTGCAGACATATTGTTATTAGAATACATTTATCAGAATCGCAGCAAGTAAGCCGTAATTTTGGAAGTTCCTTTTTCAAGTTTCCCGTACATTTTTAATTCGACACGTAGAATAATGACTTTCCTGTTGACTCTATTACAAATGTTCCCCCCGTCTCATAAAACAAAAGAAATACGTTCGTCTATGATCGGTAAATCACGTAATGAATCAGCGTCTCGTTGGCGTTTTTTGAATTTCGAACGAAGAAAATGCAAAAATATGTGCATAATTTGTAAATTTAAATTAGCAATGAAGTTAGCCATTTTATTCTAGAGTATATGTATATACGGAATGTCTTCCCCACGAGAAATAAATGTTATCCGATAATTTATTTAGCACATTTATCATTTACACGTTTTGTCGTATTAATATTGTCCAATACCGTTTCTGCGCCACGCGATTGTTGCAACGACCTTTGTAGATATTCACAACACCAGTCTGCACCGCACAGTATTTGCCCGTCGAATAAAAATTCAGAGTGCACACCTTTCAAGTTTATTTTACATCAATAAATATCAATGATATCCGTGAAATATGAAAGATAAACTCGTAACTACTGTATCAGACATTTTCGTTACGTTCGCTGCCCCGGTCAAATGTTTCAAATCATTTTCTATATTCACGCGAGAATATAGTGATCCATGATAATATAATAACAGTGATCCATGTATACGAGAATAGTAGATCCATGTGTTCGATAATATAAAAGATCGTCGATAATTGTAATCGTTTCTCTGCGCGATATTAATCGCTAATATATTTCGCTTAATATTTTTGCAATCTATTTCGCGATCGCATGAATCCGAAGCGAAGAATTTCAAGATCCATCACTCTTATCTAAAAAAAAAGACGTTAACTTTCTCGCACGAACGCGGTTTCACTCTCAGGATCTATAGACGATTCGAAATTTCTGACCAGCAACGCGTACGGAGCGCAACGAAAAATTTGCCGAGAAAAATGCGCGGACTTGATTAAATTGCCAGACACGACACGTTGCAGCGAAAATATTAAACTTCATTTTGAAATTTTGCGTGTACACCTCCGAACGACTTTATGAAAGCTTTAGCGTTCGGCGCGATCGCGTTCTGGGAAATGTTTGTTGCGCATGGAATTTGCAGGACGGTGTTTTCCGTTGTCAAACATTGTCATTCGAAACGCGTGCAATTTTCTACAATTACGGTCAATGTGACGGCATACTTTGCATTAGAAACAGAATTTTCGGTTAAATACTCGCCAATCATCTACACTCATACGCGAAAGTATTCGAACGCTTACGTTGCTAACATTCAATTAATCAAATATATGTGTCAAATCGAAGCATTTGATATAATATGACACATTCAACAAGGGATGGGTCTTAAGGCTGCGTAAGCAAAATTAGAAAATAATTCAACAATATGTAGCGTTTTTACAGTACATTTATTGTAAACACGTACCAGAAATGGCTCACAAAAGTATTCGAACGAAACAATTAATAGTTATTTAAATCGAACGATCAAAGGTTTTAATAGGAATTTGATCCACCTTTTGCTTTTATAATAATAATGTTAATGTTTATGATTACAATTACAATTATTATTATTATTATTACAATTATTATTATTACAATTATTAATAATTGTTAATGTTTTCCATCGAGTGGACCAACTTAGAAGTAACATTTGCATCTATCGATTGCCACATTTCGATAATATTTCGTTTTAACACTTCTTCCGAAGTAATAACCGTATTTCTTAATCGTCTTTCTACTTCATTCCATAAATGTTCAATGGGGTTTAAATCGGGACTTTGCGGTGGATGTGGCACCACGTGTGGAACATTATACAATACCTATTCTTTGACTATTTTATCGGTACGCTTCGGATCATTGTCAGACCGAAACCAATAATCGCTAGGTAAATTCAATTTTGATACACTGCTTTGTAAATTTTCCTGCAAAATTTTCAAGTATTTCGTTTTGTCCATTATCTCATCGATGAATACAAGGTTTCCCACTAGATGCCATGCAGCCCCAAACTAATACAGATCCACAATTATGTTTTATAGTCGGTCGCAGAATTCGCGGTTACAATAAATTTGTAATAAATGTACTGTAAAAACTGCTATATATTGATGAATTATTTTCTAATTTTGCTTACGCAGTCTTAAGACCCATCCCTTCTTATATGTGTTATATTATATCAAATATATTTTATTTTTATTATTATTTATAATTATTATTATATTATAATTTATATTATAATTATTTATAATATTAATTATATATATTATAATTTATATTATAATTATTTATAATATTAATT